TATATTCAATTCTTTCTATTGGTGACTAACGTTTAAAGTTTTTTAAATATATGTTTTTTGTAGTGAAATACTCCTTTTAAATGGTAATTTGAGAGGTTAAAATCTTTTATTGATTCCAATGCTAAATTACCTTGGCTTTTTTATCTTTATTGATTATGTATTGAAAAGTTTTTTAGAATTTTTAAGTATAAAGACGAAACAAATAGAAATCTAAAAGACTTTAAACCTTTAACATGTTCTAAGTGTTCAAAGGGTAAAAGTGAAAAAAAAAATGAGTTCATGGAAATTTCAAAATAGAAGAACTAAAAATGAACTAAAAATAAGTCCTTTTTTTGTCTCTCTACTTTAAAAAAAAAAAGTCTCTTTTTAATCATTTTACTTTGAAATTTTCATTATCTAACGTGCATTTTGTGCAAAAAGATAACGGATGAACAAAAAACAGACTAGATAATAAACTTTAGGGATTAAAAAATGACCCTTTTTTTTATTAAAATAGAAAAACCAAAATGAGATTTTAATCTACATATAATGCGTGCGTAGGCTCAACCTGAGACCCTGCAAATCGTCCAAAGTACCATTGCAAAGCAATTGTCAATTGAAGTGAGCTCAGTCACTCCTGAAACCAAGTTTGCTGACATGGGTGGCGACTCTCTTCACACGGTAGGTCTCATTATCACCAGGACAAATATCATAAGGTTTGGATTATCCCAACAGATTTTGTTTCATTCTGTTTAAATTTGGAAAGAGTAGAAGTTGACCTTGCATCAGCAAAATATCATCAGGTAGAGATAATGATGGCTTTGGAAGAGCAGTTTGGGGTATCCATTGGAGAAGGTGGAGCTGAGCACATTGCCACTGTTCAAGATGCTGCCGACTTCATCGAGAAAGTGAAGGCGGAGGAGGCCTAACTGCCTGAGCCAACATACCGCACACCGCAGCAGCATATATCCATTCACATTGCAATTTAGAGTCATGAAATTTTCCCCTCCTTTAAGAATCATTTCAACAAGGTGGTAATTTTTGTTCCAGAGTTTTCTCTGAACTAATGTCATGCTCTTTTTCTATCTACTGCAAGCAAGAAAAAGAAACAATAAAACCCAAAAAGAAAAGCCCATCAATTGTCTTTGAGATCTTATATACCTTCTGGGCAACATCTCAATTTTCAATAGAGCAAAATTGCTACAATGAGCAAAATTTGTAGGGGCTTCCCCCCTTTTCTTGTTTGGGCCACATCCTTCTGTTTGTATCCTGGTTGGACTTCATGGACTTCCAACCAGGATGTTAAAGATACCCTCAGTACTAAGGCATTGGGTTGACCATACCACACCGAAATTGGAACTTAAAGGAACCCATTAAACCTTCACTTCCAAGTAAGTTGCAAGTGCAGCTGAGCATTGGATAATCAAAATGTGCTAAAACCAACCACAGGAAACTATAAAAATGGTAGATCGATTTGCTTTATGGCTTGGCATGGTCACAACTATGAATAAAATAGTAAAACATGATTCTACACCAATCCCACAAAAGCAGTCATCTAAACATACATGTATTCACCACCTCGTACAGCATTTGCAGCGCCTTTCCTATCTTCTTCAGCCTCCTTCTCCCTCTCCTTCCAGCTCTCATATGCATGATCATCAGTTTGTAGCTCATGTAGACAAATTGGACAGGAGTTGTGCTCATCCTGTCAGAAGTTATACATTACAGTTAAACATACATTCAGTATGCGTCCCATATGTTCCATAAACATGGAAATTCTGAATCAAAAACAAGGTTTAACCCTGGCAAAGCACAATATATCATCAATCAGACAAAAGCTAAGCAACATTACCAGCCATGGCTTTAGACAGGGAGGGTGGAATGTATCCTTGCAAGGCAACTCTTGCATCTGATCACCCACAACCAAGTTCTCCTTGCAAATTGAACACTCAGCATCTGGTCCAACCTTGGCCAGGATTTCTTCTGTGAGAGTGATAATTGGAAGCTTTGCAACTACTTCTTTACTGGCAGGTGGGACTCTTGGGCCTGCAGACTCATTCTCCAATATCTTAAACAAGCAAAAATTTATACAAAAGAAATGATTACTACTTGATAGACACAAAATCTAATTACTTTATAATTAAAACTAAACCAAGTATTTCAGCAGAGCAGAGTTGGAGATACCAAATCACATTATCAAACACCCATTTCTAGCATTTCACTTGCTATAAACAAAGCAAATTCTAAACATGTTGAATATCATAAATATATAGAACAAGATTCAAGCCAACTAGTACCTCAGGAATGACAGAGTCAAGGTGGGAAATGAGCTCTTCAAGTACATGGGAAGCATTCTCATCAGTGTTAATGTTGTCCACAGGACTAGAAGACTCAGCATGAAAAGCAGAAACAACTGCATTCAACAAGTTTGCCTGCACCAGCCACTGAAGCTGCGGTGGCTCAGGATCCACAGTTAGATGCCCCTCAAAAAGATATCCTGAAACACAAACAAACCCCCCAAAACATTCATAACCCATAAATTAAATTTCCACAAATTCTAGCACAAAAAGCTAAAAACAAACCTCTATTTTGTGCAGGCTCTTGAGCTGGGGCAGGACTATCAATCTCATGCAAATGTTCCTTAGCCTGAGAAATGCAATTCTTCATATGGCCCTTCTCCGACGGTTCAGAGAAAAGCCCTTCAGCGACCTCGAACAGCCGCAATCCGGCGAGCCAGAAGCCAGGCGCCGTATATCTCGTCTTCAAAATCGTCGCAACTCGGCAT